CAAAGGACAGGTGTGGACAATTAGAGGCCAAAATGGAGGAAACAGGAAAGATAATGGGATGAAAACGGACCATGACAACACACATGCAAACAGCAGTTCACGTAAACCACGCCTCTATGTATCATGGAAAGAAATCTCCATACAGCTGCACCAGAGGTGCAAAAGCACAGGGCTGTTTATTTATTTGTTTATTAGAAAAATTTATATAAATGTTACAATTCACCAAAGAAATCCACTGTTTTTCCATTGTATAAAACCCAACAGTTTATGCATGTAATTAATAATACTATAAGTTTTTTTAATCAATAGAAGAGCTCTAGAAGAGTTATTTGAGGTTACAGTCAGCGGCGTTGGAAGGAGTTTGTCACTGGAGGAGAGGGGATCGTGCTATAGGGACACATGCAGTGTCGCATCGTGAAAGGATGCAATGTAAGAAAGATTTTTAAATAATTTTAGAATAATAAAGATTTAAGATTGTGTAGAGGACAGTTTCACCTCTTAACATAACTAAAGAAAATAACTGATCCATATGATAAAATGAGCTTGTCTGATAAAGGAGAACAATCTTAATTGGGTATGTTTCATCCTCTCTCTCTGCATGCACACAGAATTGGCCTCAGTAATTCAAGATTCAATTCAAGGAACCCGCTCATATTTTCTATGGGGGGGGGGGGGGGGGCTGCTGATATTTCCAACAGCCCTGACTACAGAACATACTTCAACATTTCAAAACATCACAGACCTTTAGTCTGCGCCCCCTATTTGAAAATAGCATTAGTGATTGGACCTTCCCGAAATAAAACATTTAAAACACCCAAACAACTTTATTTTGCTTGTCGTTAGCGTTATTTCGCGTCACCGTAAGCAGTGCACTGAATATGACTGATGTGAGAATAAAGCTCTACTTGACTTGTTTGCCTTCACGTGCTCTGGTTACTGCACTACCATGACCGACAATGCACCAAGATGGCGGCGTGAGACAATTGAGAAATACTATTGCAACCTTCCTATAGGTGAGAGAGAGAGTAGTGCCACCTATACAGTAAGAGGACTGATATGAGTGATATTTTTGGATTTTGCAAATCAGTATCAAAATGTCAAAACCAGGATTACGACTAATCATAAAATCCATATTTTTCCCACCCCTAATAATTCTGATTATGAAAAATGAATGAAAGTACATTTCTTACCATTTTTTCAGATATGTATTATAGTTAAGAAGATCCCATGATATAATATTACATTTCCCTATTTTTAGCAGTTCCTTTCTGTTGATTATGAGAGTTAAAATCTGGAAATGTGGGCCTTTGTTTGCAATGATAAGATTGTAAATTATACATCAGTTATTGAATGACTGCACTCTGCTTACTGTTCTAACAAATAACTTATTCCAAACCACCCCCTTTTCTTCGTTTTGAATTTCCTTTTCTTTTTTTTTGGAACAGTAAATTGGTCAGATAGGTGGATTTTTATCTCTTCCCCTCATGATTTTCCGTAATTGGGGATTAGGACCAATCGAATTATAACATAATCTTTTATAATATCAGAAGCATTTGTTGAAGTTATTTATCCAGTCTGTGGTTAGGCAAGATGTTCCTAAATTTATGCCTACTGCTGCTTAAAATGTTATTTCTTTACAAGCACTTTACAAAAACTGTTCACAAACAGAATTATAGTTGTGTTTGTTTTTTAAATCAACATTGGTTGTACCATGCATAAGACACATACAGATGTGCACACACGCATGTGATTTTTTTGCATATATTTGATTGTGTGTGTGTGCATGCAGAACAGGAGGTTCAAAACCTGATGATGGGATCATTATTTTCTTTAACTGGATTTCTTCTTCTACTGTCTGAGAGCAGTCTGAAGGGGAACAAATGAGAATTAGCAGAAGATATACATCAGTTCCGTTGTATGTGTGCTGTTGGTTTGGTAAAGCCCCAGAAGTTATTTACTGATATGTGTTGATAGGACACACCCAAACCAAGCTATTGAGAAAGAATTTTAACATCTCTCTCTAATGAACAACGAACTTTCCATGATGGGTGTGGGTGGTTACAGTTCAAGTCTTTTGGGAGAAGTGTGTTGCTCAGGACACTTGCTTCGTGATCAGAAGGTCACAGGTTCAAATATTTTGGTCAGCAGAGCAATTTCGTTGTTAGGTAATTGAGTGAGGCCCCAAACCCCAAATTGCTCAGTGAACTGGCAAGCCCCACTTTCTCAAGACAAGTTTGTCGCTTAGGATAAAATGTAAGTTTTGGCAAGGGAGAGGTTTGTCACACATTTACTATTGCGTTCTTTGACAAGGAAAAAGCTAGCTTTCTAAACCAAAGAACACATTTTGAAAGTTAATACTTTGATGCCTGTGTCAGAAGCACACCTACAGTAGAAATGTTGGGCCCCCTAGCAAAATGTCACCTTGCCCCCCCCCCAACCCAATTTAATGTATAATTTAATGTATTTGAGGACTGGGCCCCTGAATCTGTCAGGGCATCCATGCCCCTCTGACACCCCTGGTCTATGTCATCATATTTTATATTATTGCATGCCCTAAATAAAATAAAAATTAAATACAGATTAATGTCGTTTTTCATGTCTTACACAAATATGTCTTACAAATAGTAAACTGTTACACAGTCATACGCGGTTTTTACATCGTCACCCTTGTATAGTTTGTTCCAAGTAACCATAACTATACCTTAAATTTTATAAACTGCATTTGTTGATTTCTGATTACTTTGCCAGAAATCATAACCCAAATTGAGAGCCTTTAATCATAATAAGCAGTGGCTCACTGGGTAGCACTACGACCCCCCCAGTTCTAGGGGTGATTTTTTGATACCTACCTGGCATTCTGTATGAACAATTTCCCTGTCCCCCCTGTGCTCACATCAGCTGCCTCCCTCAGCCCCAAACCATGTGGTCTAGGCAGAGTGTGGAAATCTCCTGCTCTGTGCACCATAAGATGGACTGGTGTCCTTTGCCCTTTGATTCCTGGAATAGACTCCCTGTGAGAATACATTGGATAAGTGGCGATGGAAAATGGATGAAAATAATGGCTCACACTATTACGGTAAGTGCTTTTTAAAATTTGTGCTTTGTTATTGTTACATCAAGTCAGTTAACGTTAGAATTTGACTACGGAGAAAACAGAATAAAGAGCGCTCTCTAGTGGTCCCTTGAAAACTCTGCTTCTTTACTATGAACTAAGGCAGAATGCTGCTGGTCTGGATGGCCTTTTATATATGTTTGCTTTTGTTCCAGCAGTGATTCTAATGAATTTCCCTTTACTGACATGATGAAACATTGAAAAATTCAAACGATGTAGAACCACCCTCACTACGTTATTTTTCAGTCATGCTTCTGTGTTCTTTAGTGTTCCTGTAGTGACATGCAACAAAGTATTTCAAAATATCCCCAAGGTCTGTGTTCATGTTCTGAATAGAAACATTGTGTTTAATGTGAATTCAGTTGTGGTTAACGTGAATGAGACTGAATGAAGCGCATACCATAGACACTGGGATGTTGGAACCAGGTTTAGATAGATAGTGAATGCAAGAGAGAATGTGGATATGTGAATGAGAATAGTTGAAGCGTCCATTGTGTTGTGAGCGGATTTGCAGCGTTCTTTTTTTTGCATGTGTTTTCAGAATTTGCATCACATTGCCACTTATCGGCCACTGTACCAATGGCTTCAGTGAGTCGCTCCTGGTCCACCATTTATATAAATCATGATTGGGAAGGTGGCCTTCATCAAACATAACCAATCAGGAAGCGAGAATTGAGTACCATTTCTCTGGCAGTCAAACTCTGTCACACAAACTATTGTCATTCACAGATCCTACCATTGTCTTACATTGTCATTTTGTTCCTTGCACATTATTATATGCATTGACATGTACTATTTTCTCTTACAAATGCTATTATTGGGTTTCAAATATATTGTACTCTCATGCATGTTAGACCTTTGTTTTGCATACACTATGAACTTCATTTACATGTACTTCCATACTCACATACGTAAACTGTTATCCTCTGTTACAGACTATCATGCAAGCATATAATGTGTGTATACAGTAAGTCGCTATAGATCTCTGTGCAAGAGAACAGTCCTGTGTGTATGAGAGTATGATAGTAAATAAAAGTGAGTATGACTGCATGCAACAGGATATAGTAGTATTTTGTGTAAGAGTATAGTGGTGTACCTGTGAGACTATGATGCTGTGTGTTAGACTATAAGTTATACATTATCTCTCAATGGCCATCTCATAGGGTGGCATGGGCATATTGCATTGCCAAATGGCCTCACAAAAAAACCTTCCCTTTTGACCTTGTAGGGACATATTGTTTGGTCACCACAAGGGAAAACTTAATTTGATAAAAGTTTGTGAGTGCTATCAAAAAACTGAAAATGCCAAAAGTTTTGTATTTTGTTTGCTTAGAACATAAGAAATTTACAAACGAGAGGAGGCCATTCGGCCCATCAATCTCGTTTGGGGAGAACTTAATTAATAGCTCAGAGTTGTTAAAATCTTATCTAGCTCTGATTTAAAGGAATCCAGGGTTTTAGCTTGCACTACACTAGCAGGAAAACTATTCCATACTCTAACTACATGCTGTGTAAAGAAGTGTTTTCTCAAATTCGGTTTAAAATGTTCTCTCGCTAATTGCCAACTAGTTGGGATTAGGGCAGAGGTGGATAGTTCTGGTCCGGAAAGTAAAAAAAAAATCAGACCAGGATTTTTACTTCCTGGACCCTTAGCTATCCACTTCTGGATTAGGGTTATGCCCTGAGAAATGAATGGAGAGTCCCCACAAAGATATAGATACTGTACCTAATCTGTGCATGTATGTGTGTGTGTGTGTGTGTGTGTGTGTGTAAAATAATACTTAAACCATGAAATTATTCATGCAAAAGCATTGAATGAGCTGGCAAACCAGCCGTTTGTTACTGTGTCATACAGGAGTCAGCAAAGTAAATGTTGTAGAGATCAATGTGAGAGAAGAAATATTAAAGACTTTATTAAACACTAAGAATTACATACAGAAACACAGGGCTCGGGCTGAACAGTATATGCATCCATTCTATGACTTACAAGATAAAATTGTCCTTTACCTATATTTATGTACCCTCAGTAAAACAACCTGTTGGTGTTGCCAGAAATACAATGGTATTCATCCAAGTACAGCAAAACAATAATAATAATAATAATGAACAAATCAAATCAATTGGAGATTGATGGACTGGACAGCCCTTCAGTGCAGTTCTGAGCCTTTCCAAGTGGTGTTGTGAAGACTCAAGCTTGCATTGGTTGTTAGGTTCTTGTTCAGACACTGTTCAGCGACTGAGGAACAGTTATGATGTATTCAAGGCACTTGAATAGACTCAGAATTGTAATTATTTCCTTTATATGAGGTAGTGATATAAATATAGGGCGGGGCAATTATAACTAATTCTGGCTTATTCCTATGTTTGCTTTTTGTTTGTTTTTCACTTCATAGAGTGACACTTGGATCCCCCTTCAGAGGATAGTTTCCTGCTGATTAGGTTGCAAGAAATACACAACTTGAAAGCTTAACCGAAACAAGATCATTAAATGCTAGTTGCAGAACTGATGAGAACAACTCATTAAAGAAGGCATTCACATTTGGATGCAAATCTCAGATGCAAAGTTATTCATCATATACTCCAGCTAGACTCATACAAGCAGAAAAAAAAACTGAAACTGAGTGACAGCAATAAATTCAATTCCATCAAAAATGTGAATAAAACTGCCAAATAATTCTAAGCCCACAAAGGAACATTTAGACATTTAAGCTGTTTTGCCAATAAATGTATTTACAATATCCTTGTTATATCCTGAAGCTTTCAAACTTGAATACAGCCCCATTGCCATTACGTCCAACTCCAAATAGATTTCTTTTTGTATTATGAAATAATCATTCTTACATTCTTTGCCAAGTTAATTCATAACCCAAGTTATAAGTAGAATTCAATGTCGTTTACAGCATTATCAGAACAACCCTTTTATGCCTTTACCTGAACCATAAAAGCTTGAGTGCCACCGATAATGTAAAATATTTCAAAAAATGGAAAAGAAAAATGCTGTGGGCAGAATTTCAGCTTCCGCATCAAAGAGCGCAAATAAGTCCAAAACCAATAACAGCCAGCAGTTGCACAAAGGAACAACTTGGAAAATTTTTGTCACCTTTCAGTGGACAAAGTATAAGGCAGCACCCATTCACAGACATCTGTGGCCCTCATCCCCAAAACTGCAGGATGTCTCTCTATACATTTACACTCCCAGATTTATATAAGACTTTCTATCACTGAGACTGGGATTTCCAGAATGATATTTCTAGAAAATGTCAACAGGAGTATGGGTCAGGGAGGCAACAAAACCTTTTTAAAATAGTGTCTTTAACCATATTATACAAAAAAGAAAATTATTCACAATAATGCCCACTCAGAGGCCCTGCAAACTGCTGGGGCACTATTCACAAATAACAGTAATGTATGACTTTACTTAACAACAAGCAGCCCCCTCTTTGTGCATGTATCTGTGAGTATACATTACAGATTAAGAATAGTCTTATTGTTTTATTGTGCCTTGTAAAATACATAGTTAGTATTTGTATAGCAAAATACTGTACAAAACAGCTTATAGAACAACTTCATATAAACATTTAAACTTTTAGTCAATATATATTTGTGTCTTTTGGTGTGTAGTAAACATTAATAATAAATTGATTGGGTTAACCACAGTATATGACAACACCGTCAACCTTATTTTTATACATCTTTTACATTCATCTTACAGCCAGTCTAGAATAAGGTAAACACATAGCTACAAAATTGTCCAAATTTTGACAAAAAAAGTTAATCATGCTCAGGAAAAATCTCAACTGGTTATCAAAATGATTTTGCTTCACTGGAGATCTGTGAATATAAACAGAAATCATGCTAAATGGTTTATTTTAACAACAATAATAAGACTGAAATTTAATGCAAAACGTTCATAAAAATCAGGCAGATAAGATTGAAACACAGTAGAAACACTGCACCAGATCAGGTTGTAAAACACACAAGTATAAAGGACTGCTGGAGAAAGCTTCCTGTATTATGACTCAACTGAAATACAATGCAAAGATTGTCAAACCAGGTTAGAAACACCATGTTAACCTTTAAGCATGATCCTGAAAAGAAAGGGAGAGAAAAAAAAAAAAATTTCACGGCTTTCCATAAGGAAAATAAAGTTGCGACGGAGAGGAAAATGGGAGTTGTTGTATTCACATCTAAAACTCACAACCAGACAGCATTTCTTTGTAAATAGCATTATTGCGTCAGGTTTTGAAAATGCCAGAAAACACTAGATGTTCCACTTCAAAGTAACCCCATGACCTAGTTGTGAGGCAGTTTAAAAGCACATCCTTTAGTCTGAAGTGACAAAAAAAGCAAACAAATATCGGGATGTCATGTAGCTAGTGGTACTGTATCACATAGCACTTGCAAAGCAATGCAGACAATAGATAAATGATCACCATCAACTAAAATATAATTATATTGACAGCAACAATCTCAAAATAATATACTGTAGTTACCGAGAAAAGAAACATTTGCATTTATAATATTTGTAAAACCATGTTACATACATACACAGAGACAATATACATTAATGCTTATGGATCAGACAAAACAGTTTGTTAATAACAGCTAAACTGTTCCAATTAATTACAACCGAAAATAAAGAGCACAGGGAAGTGGACAGGACAATCGCTTATGAATCAGCAATCTCAAACCATAAGGAATTAACAAAATAAAACGGAAAAATTAAAATGCTACAACAGTTCTCGGCCCTGGAAAAATCTACAGAATCGCTAGAAAGAAGATGAGAATGAAACATTTTCAGAAACATTTTGGGGGAAATGGAAACAGGAGGGCAGCTTGGTTCCAAAACAGGCAGTAGACACAGCCAAAAAAGGGAAAAATAAGTGTTTCACATATATTTTTTTCCACTCTCTCAGGTATTATTTTGTGTATATACCCTACATGTATAGGGTACAAAATATACCTATATGTATATATCTATATATATAAAGATATCTTTTCTACTTCTGGTAAAGTGCTGATGACTGATGGGTATCAGCGGTGACCTTAAGTCAGGTGGGGGGGGTGCTACTGAATGGGAAACATTGTCCTTCAAAACGTTTGAGCGAGCAGGGAATGGGGGGGGGGTGGAGGCATGGTGTCACTGGTGGAGGAACAAGGTGTGGCGTGGGTGGGAGTGGGGGGTTCTTACAGGGGCCCGTGCTGAGCTTCGTATTTGGAAATAATGTTTTTGCAGCGGCCAAGCTCCTTCCGCAAGTCTGCCACCTCCTGGCGCAGGGCGGAGTTCTCCTTCTCCAGGAAGCTGGCCCGGATGGCGATCTGGTTCTCCTTCAGCCGCCGGGCGTCCCGTGACCTTTTGGCCGCCATGTTGTTCTTTCTACGCCTTGCCCAGTATTTGTCGTCCTGCTCAAATTGTACAAAACAAAAAAAGAGAAAAAGATGAAAAGAAGTACCAAGTTATATTTTGTAGGTTTAATTACAAAAATGCAGGTGATATTATGATAATGTTATCACAGATACTGTGATATCTCTTATCACCAAATACAAAACCTGAGATTGGTCTATCAGAAAGCAAGCTATACTTCAGACATCGTGGTCCAGTCACCTACTGACAGCCCACCCACCCATGCTACACTGACTACTCCTGGAAGTTACTTGATTTTTGTCAAGGCCCCCTGACAATTGATTGTGAGCAATTGATCACCGCGTGAACCTCAGCACAGATCAGCCTTTATATGAACAAATTGCAATGGCAAATCCCTTAATCCTGACCCAGCAGGAGAGGAACGGGGATCACGTGGCCTGTCTAAAGATGAATAGCTGGGGTTAAGCCTCTTAGCTGGGTCCTGTGGATGTTCTGGCCAATGGGAAGGAACACAAAACAGTGCGAGTCTCAACAAGGAGCTAGGAAAGCAATTACCTTAATGATCAGTGGGGACGGGGACTTGATCACCATCCTTTCTTTGCGTTTTTGTACCAATAGTCATTTCTCTTCAGGTTACATTCAGAACCATGAATCAGATAAGAGGCAACACACATAGAGCCATTTTTTCAGCCAAAAAGCAGTGGGCCAGTCCTATCTGTCTGCAATACTCTACTTAAACTGTTCATGAATAATCATTTTATTACAATTTAATATACTTATACAAGCCGCAGTTTTAAGAAAATCAATTAACTCTGAGCACCATTAGCAAAGAGGCAGGTGAGGTCTTTCTGCTCTAGTCTGCATCCACAGATACTGCTTAGCAAGCCGCCCTTAATAACCAGCTCCAAAATACCTTCATTTCATCAGGGATGAAGACCTTGCGTGCTTTTTTAATCATCGGCTGGGGTTTGAGCTCCTCCTCTGAGAACTTGCGTTTGCGTGGGTCAAACATCTCCTGGCCAGGGACACTGGACAGGGCTAAGTCGGCTGGATCAGGCTCATATCCCACCGGGACCTGGATGGTCTCCGGGTCAATAGGACTGGGAGTGTTGCGAGAGGAGGGCAGGGCTGTGGGATTGAATGATGAAAATGTAAACGTCAAAATCTCAGTAAAGCGACTACATACGAGCCATGCTCTGAACATACTTCACTATAAAAATAAAATTTCAATGCAAACTTTTTATTATATATAGTTTATATTTAGTCCTTAATGGTGAATTGTTTACTGCATTATCATAACAATGTTTACTGCCTGTCTGTCAAAAACAGTCTGGAAATTGTATATAACATGGTACATCCACTAGGTGGCACACATTGACTAGATGGCTAAAACCACAGACAGGCAAATCAAGTGACAAACTAACGAAGGGGTTAGCTAACTGGAGGTCATAGTATGCTGACTGTGACAGGGCTGTGTTGTCACTTTACTTAATTATTTAGCTGTCCTCTTTAAAGGACTGACTCTTGGGGGAAAAAGTTGAGTGTGAGCAGATTTTGAGCTTCCAGTGTAATCAACCATAGGGAATACCACCGTAAAGGGAGCTGCCATTTTGAAAATTCCGATAACTCAATCCGTAGCACAATGCATCAAAACCATTGCTGTGTGTCCATATCACGGAACAATGACTTCAGTGTTTATTTCAGCTGATTTCAGGTTATCAGTCTCAAAAAGCACCAGCCCCCTCTGTTTCTTAACCTTAAGCCAGAAGATATTGTGCGTCATCCTTCCCTGCAGCTCCTCATTTTGGGTGTCCCTGTCAAAGCTATTCCTTTACATTGCCACTCTAGTCCGAGGTTCTGAAACAGCCCTGGGCTCCAGACCAGCTCTGCAGGAGACAATGGCTTTACTGTCAGACATGATTTAGCACAAGGTCAAAATATGTAACCTCAGCTCTCCTTTTCTCTGCTTTGGACTAATTGGAATTTCAGAATTCCCATGCTGTTCTGATTGCATGGGTACCTCTCTTTTCACCTTGTAATCAAATGGTTTCTATAGTGTATTAGAACAATTTAGAAAGAAATACAATATGTTGACAATTACAAAAAGCTTTTAAAAAAAAAATGAACTGAGCTCTCCTTGCTTTTATGCTAACCTTACAACGATGTTCATGTAAATGTTGGACTTAAAATGTTGAAAAGCCTGAATAAAACTGTCATTCAGTATTCATACCAATTTGATTTAATATCTATTATTAGGAACTGTATTTTGACTGTGTACCTGTATATGTATGTGCTAGAGATCACAGGCCCCAAAGTGATTTTATTTGATTGCGATTAGGCCTAGAGAGGGGATGATCTTTAATCGATTCTTTGATTAATTTGACAAACTAATTTAAAACCCTTTTTTAACGGGGGAAAAAAAAAATCTCCGATTACCATAGGAAATGATTACACATTATTAATACAATGCAAAAAAAAGCACAATTTCAGAACATTAATTTTAATTATTATTAAATAGGGAGGTCAAGCCAGTGTAAATTGTAAAATGACTAACTATAACTTAACTATACAGTTCAGGCGGTTGCCAAGGGTGAAACTTGCATTTTAGATTAACAGAATGTTACATTGTTTTGTTATTCTGTGGAAAAGAAAAGATTGATCTGCTGGCTAAATTTAATAGTGAATTAACATGTTGTGGGCTGGTACTTTGATGCATATACTGTACTGTACCAAGAGGTGAATGTGCTGATGAGATCCCTTGTCCTACCCTATAGATAATGGCCTATCATCCACAGCAATCATATCCATTATTGCAGTAGTCGTGTCTTTATCGTTAGTGTCACCAAATTTGAATATTAATAAAGTTTAAATATCAACCAGCAATATCGGCCAAGACTGACACACAAGACTGACCGATAACTGGGTTACCAACTTTGGTCAGCTGCCTGGTGTGAGATTTTTAATTCGAGACAAGTCTGCACACTCATTGACATGTATGTAACACTTTTATTACCTTGTAAATAGCCTGTAGGCTTTGCAAACTACCCCAATGCTTTTGATGTAGCTAATTTTAGGTTTATAATGGAATAATACAGATTTGCTGGAACATCTTGCGTGAGCGTGAGAGTCAGAAAGCGTGAGTGTCACACCAGACGCGTGACAGTTGGCAAACCCAGGTTGATATGTTAAATATATGATGCAATTGTAAGGGTAAAATGACTTTTTAGGTGTACTTAGCTAGCTAGTAAGTTACCTCAGTGTCCTGACCATGCTACTGTAGCAAAAACAAGAAAGACTATTTTGTGCTACCAAAAAGAGTGTTTCCAAAAAGCATCATAGCGTTTTGTGCTACAAAACACAAAGATCAGCTCCATAGAGCAAAGATCACCTACGTGTCAGAAATGTGCATGCCAGTGTGGCTACTTTGTGCATCTACCTGCAGCACATGAACACGACAGCACGCAATACAGAAGTAGGAATATCTTCAAGGAGGATTTTCCCCTCAAAAATCAATTCTGATGTTACAGATCACTATAGCTGAATGGCCACCTTAATAAGCGATTCATCATGATTCATCGATGCATCTTTACACCCATAGTATGTGCTGTATGATTATCACCTGTTATGTAAATTAACCTCTGAATGTCCTGTATTTACCACTATCAATATATTACATATACACTGTGTAAAATATTTTCTACTGCAACAGACAGAAAAAAAACAACTCCTATAAATTGTGGCATACTTGCTTCTTTTTCCTTACCAGACTTGACTGACTAGTCTGCAACAATTCTGCACATTATTTAGAAGTTCAGGACCTGCAGCATGCCCCTGCAATCTGTTTCACTGCATCTAGAGAAGATGTCGTAAGATAGTTACTTCACCTTTGCTAGTGTATTCGCATGCTCCACAAAATGTTCCAATCAGATATATACAGAAAAAAATTGTACTGATTATATCCCAAGACAAAAAGGGAGTTTTATTCTTGTCAACTTCAAATGATTATGTAAAAATGAATGCTGTCACTATCGATCATATTAATAATCAAGTAACCTACTGATTACTTTTCCGAATAATCAATTTATATATATATACACACACACACACACACACACACAGAGTCAATTTAGGCATCCCAATTCACTTACGTTGCACGTTTTTGGACTGTGGGAGGAAGTCAGAGGATCCGGCATGATCCGGCATAGACCCACGCAGACACAGGGAGAACATGCAAACTCTACACACATAAAGTGATGGTGTACAGCGACAGCGCTACCAAATGCATCTTCCTCTAAACCTGCACAATGTGCAATGTTAATATCGACACTTCATGTCTTGCATATGTAATTAGAAGGACCACGGTAGTCAGCTGGGATGTTTTATATTAAAACATTTTTACTTTGTCATAGGAAACAAAACTCAGCAATCTCTGCAATTTTAATGACAGTTTCTTTTCAATACTATCCAATACATTAAAAAGTCCATTAAAAAATCAGTACAGACGCTCCTCCACTTACGAGCGAGATACGTTCCTAACGGCTGTTCGTAACTTTGAAATGTTCTTAAGTCATTATTCAACACCATTTTAAGGGTACTCAAATCTACACACAAAAGTATGTGTCATGCCCTGCTCGTGCCGATCCTCCTGTGTTCCACACCGTCCTCGCTACCTTGTGTGGAATCTCCGTGTCACTAGTGAGCCTAATGAACGCAATTTAGACTTGCAGTCCTCTTCGTTCGTATGTCTGAATGTTCGTAAGTTGAAGGTTCATAAGTAGAGGAGCATCTGTATAAAGCTTCCTGCAGCTGCTTTTGCATGAACTCTGCATGGCTCTGCAAGCCAACCACAGTCAGTTTCATACATGCCATTTTACTCGTTCATTGATAGTGTGGCATGTTCATGAGAAATTCAACAAAATGAGTGAGGGAGGAAAAAAGCGAGCAAGAAATGGTCATCAAAAAATTGTTTTCCGTTGTATGGAAATATTTTGAGTTCCATAGAGCCAATATTGAGCAAAAGGAACTGATTTATCGGCCATATGTCACTGCAACGCCACCAAATTATTTGAGAGACTCTACAGGTTGATAAGTTCTATTTGGCTACAGTTTCTTTTGGGTATATTTTAAGCTCTTTTTTGTTTTAGAAATATGAAAATATTTAAAGCAAAAATTTCAAATATCGCAATGTGAACTTTTTCAGACATCATTCAATATACACAATATGCTCACAAGATATGGTTATAAATTCATATATGATTATTAGGCCTGTGTAAGAAGACGTGCTTAAACGACGTTGTTTGCCTTCATTTTAGCAGTGATTATCTATGTATAACCTCACATTATTGGTGAGTCCATAAATGTCTTTATTTAAAATGTTCCTGCATTGCGTTCATGCTGATATTCAAGTTCTATGACGATTGCATTTTCATTTACTTTTAACGTTCAGTTCTGTCATGCAACTGAGGCTTTTGCTTGCTGCTGTCTTCCTTCCACCATATTACCAACTAATAGAGAAGGCAAATTTTAATCGATACTTAAAAAAAAAAAGTATTCAGTATTATTTATTCAAAGTATTCAAATATACTTGTGTAATTGTGACAGCTCTAGTAAAAAAAAATGCTATACGTTATACAAGCTTATAACACAGAAAAATCATTAAGGCTTTGGCACCAAGTTACTGATAGACTGCGATTTTCAAAAAGGTCATAAGGACAAAAACATCAAGCATAAATGAGAGTGGGTTAAAAGGACATTTCAAATTCCGCATCTGATTACTTGTGCTAAGTATAGATGCAGGACTTGTTGATCAGAGACCATGTTTGTTAGTGTTTTCTGTTTTTATTTTTCCTTTTTTCTTGCACAAATAATTCACTTTTTTCATTTCTAAATGAACTATATACATAGATACACAAAAATATGTACATCCTATAAGTTTCTTACTGGTTTAAAATATGACTTGTTTCATGTAAATATATATGACTGAACCCTAAAATTTCAGAACTTGAAACCATTGTTTCTCGCATATCCATTTGCACAATGTGGCCATGGCTACAATTTACCTCATATTAAACATAGTCGGGTGTTTTTATTTCTTCCATGTGGTCGGTTTAAGCACTGCCTAAGTGAATAAAACGTAATGATGAAGGAAAATAAGCTTAACTCACTCCTTCAGGACAGAAATGCCTTTTGCTAGCATTTGACATTAGGAGCGCAGGAACTTCTAAGGGCGCACACTTCAGTTGAGTAGCTGAAAGGAATGCACCCCCCCCCCCAACCCCCAGTCTGCTTCAGTGCTGTAAGGCAGCTTCCGTGCTCATGTCCGTCGCAGTCATGAGAGCTGGCAGTCTGCCATAAACGGCGTCTGCACCCACCCACCCCCAACTCCCACTCACTCTGCAGTGACCGCAGAGCAGTGAGGAACTGCCTAGACGTGGAAGCCAGGGGAAGCCGCCACGCCGGAGAAGCAGGGGAACCTCCTACTGTACCACACCCCTCACTGGATGGTTCTCCCTCTTCCCTAGGGGGCATGGAATCACCTGTGAGAAGGCTGATAAAAAGCCATTCACCAATCAGCATGCGACAAACTGGTCGCAAGGCCTCAGCCAGTGACTTATTAATTCCTTTGGAGGTGAGCTGGAGGCAGAAACCGCAAAGGATTCCTGGTGCGAATGGGAGGCTGAACCATGCCTGAACCCCTTTGCAGGATGCCCATCCTTCCTCTCAGGAGAACAAATGCTGCCAAACCCCCTAGTTTCTACCGATAAATGCAGGCCACCAGCCTCCACACTGCAGTAACCCTCCTTCCTGTCCCCTCATTAGCAGCAGCGTCGCTGCTGATTTCACTTGCAAAGCGCAGCCTCTGAATTACTAAGTGGCTCACCTTCCTATCATATACCCAAAAACACAATGAAATACTGCTTGTTCTCTTTCTTTTTAAAAAAGAAGGACCATTCATGATGCCTGCAAATTCCTCCATCATTTGTGCATATGCAGTTGTTGCAAAATCTTGGCTGTTCTTTCCTACGCCCTCTATTAATCAGTCTGGAGTGGTGTTTTCCTGGTCCTGGGGGGTGCTCCGAGGGTGGTAACTGTCATTCCAGCTGAGCGCCTAATTAATTAGGATTGATTTAGCTACAGATAGAACCCGGGACATATCTTGATATCCCCATTGATTATTTCCCCTTAAAAATGAATAATGCATGGGGAATTACGACCATGTAATTAATTTATTAATTCATTGTCTTTAAACAATTAAATAACAAAAGTACTGTTTGACCTAAATTAACTTTAATATTAAAGTAATAATTTGTTCTGATTTGTTTGTGTTACACGGGAACAAAACAATTAAAGAAAATTTCATTAGTGAAGAACAGCCAATAAAATAACCTATAAACGTTTTTGTAAGTATTGACAGACTTAACACAAGTACTGTAAATGTACCATAACAATCCGCTGAAGTCTAATTAATGAAATGGAAAGTTAGATGGAAAACTAGTAGAAAGAGGTCAGGGGCACCACAGTGTGTGTCACTGTTCTATCACCATCAATCCTTAACTGGTTTGTTGAAGCAACCATTTAGATATTGCATCAACTGTCAGTCATGCGATAATTCAATCTATGCAGCCAAAACTGGCAAGACTCAGTCCCTTGAGTGTCAGGTTTTGGGAAGCCCACTTTTGCATGTTTAATTTTTCATTATGATTGTTTAAATTATTACGCTTATTTAAAATTATTACAAATTACCCTGGGACAAAAAATACTTCATACAGTTTATATATAATTGATTTGATTTTTGCAGTGGATGTTGGTTTAAATATCAGCCAGTGTGAGCGCTGATATTAAAGACCATCCACTAAAAGCATTTCCCCTCCTCTCCAGCTGGTGTTAACTTGGCTGGCTCTCAGAAAAGGGTCAGTTGCAGACACGCCCACTTTTATGTGACGAAAGTGAGGCAGATGGATCAGAACATGCTAGGCACGGCGTGCTTGTACACATGTCACACAATGGGTTCTTGGTGCCATCAGGGTGCAGCTACAGTACATGTAAAAAAAAAATTTTTTAATTTCTTAGGTTCGTTAAAGAGGAACAAAAGCAACACAAGCATTCAGATTTTGGAAGCAATGGTAGGAAGTGAAAGTTTAAAGATACAATTTCAAAACAGACAGGAAATACTCTACCAGATAGAACTGTTTAATGTTTTCAGGTTACGTTTCATATATATTGTTTATATTTGTTACTAAGGTATGAAAATACTAGTACTCTGCTGGAGTTCTACAAAGGGGACACAATTGCAACTCACATTAAGCATTTCTTAGTTCCGCAGCTGTTAAAATAAGAAGCAAAACTTGGCAGCAAACTTCTAGAACAACATCCATCCACCAGCCTGAACAGGTCCAGCACTGCTTATCTGTAAAGCCGCACGCCAGAGCGCATGCGAGCTGCAGCCAGCTACTCGCGCCCTGCTCGCTCGCTTCTCCGCGCTCACGTGAGAGGAGCACGGCTCCGGGAATGTGACTGCCGCCAGAGTACACTATGTACCTAGATCGGCGGATCTCATGCCGTGATAGGCGCAGCTTGTGGAGAGCGCTGCACACGGCGCCTCCATGTGTCTATCACGTGGTCCTGCAAGCCTTCTGCCTCACGTGAGAAACAATGTGCAAGGGAGGACGGCACTGAAAGGGAATTTTTAAAAAAAAAGAGGGAGAAACAGGAAACAGGATGATCCATTCTAACGTGGGCATTTGGCAGAACTGGATTTTACACTTCAACGTTCCTCTTTATAGCCCATTTAAAATGTTTGCCTTTCAGATTCATTAAATATAAGTACAACCCTCTCAAGTTGTGCCAAATAAGTTTTACCTTCAGTTTCAACCAATATGCCTCAGACCAAACTCCTGTAAAATATCAAGATATTAAAATTTGCATTATTTATATTTTAGCCCCTTCAGCAAGTATTACTTTCAAAGGATCTCAATGCACCACATCCTGCAACAACTCTGACACTGTATTTTTCTGATAAATGGAATTAAACTTTTAATCAGCAGTTAAATATGACCAACAGAAGCAATCTTATGGAATTCCCACATGTGAATAACCAAAATCAGAAAAAAAACAAATTTAACAAGCATAAAAAAACAACATTCTGCAGCCTCTTTCCCCATTTTCCCCTCATACAACAACCAAAACACAAGGATTGCCAATGTCAAACAGATTAAGGGGGTAGGCAAAGCCACGGGGAACCCATTAGGAACACTCGTGTTAAAGTACATTGAAACCACCGGTCAGGCTCTATACTAGCATCCACTGTCCACCACAATAAGTATTTTCCTCAGGAAAAATGTTTCACCATTGTGCAAGCTGGCTCACGGATCAGACACTGTGGTAGTCCACACAGCCAGTTTTTGTGCAATTTTTAGGTGACATACGCCCAACTCGCACGCTAAGCTGCTAAAAGACAAAACAAGGAGGCGGAACTCCCTTAATATCCACTTAGGTGGCGCCAGCGCTGCCACAGCGCAACTATGAGTTTTAAGGTATCACTGGCAGCAATGCAACAAATAACAATACAGCAACGCATTCAGACAGGAGTGCGCCACACGCATGCAAAACAGCAGAGGTGTGACTGTGCAATTAGTCACCAAGTAGATATTTATTTTATTTCAAAGTAGTTTTGTATCACCACAACAGCCTGATGGATTAAATAAATCAATCTTGTTAGTGGAAATGTACTGTTGTGACCTCAAATGAAAAAGGTCAGAGAAGATGCAATAGATTTTCATGCAATGTAGCAGTTATTGTGGTTCTATGGTATAATCCACACTGTGGCCTGAACAGGCTACATTAAAACCACAAGGAAATACAATTTAAAATTTAGGCCTATGTAGTATGTACATATTTGCCAGGAGAACAGCTTAAAGAACTAAGAACACATTTTCTGTACTCAGTGTACGCAACATGCTGCAATTTATTGTCTTATTAAGAGGTGGCACAATAGCCCATGGAAGAACAGATTGTAGACAAAAGAAAAATCCATTCAATGATTGTGTTTGTGTGTGTGTGTGCGTGTGTGTGTGCGCGCGTGCGCACACACGCCACAAATATACAATAACAATCCACTGAAGTCTAATTAATGAGATGCAAAATTAGATGGAAAACTAGTAGAAAAAGGTCAGGGGCACCACAGTGTGTATCACTGTTCTATCAACATCAATCCTTAAATGGTTTATTGAAGCAACCATATATAATATATAATATGATAAGTGTATGTATATTGGCGCACTTGCATACACACATTTTTGCTATATCACAAATAGTCAATTCAGCCTTTCTTTTAATAGCACATTCCATTGGAAAATTCCACATAACATGGAACTGTCTTCACATTTTTAAAAGGGTCTGCTTATTCCTATGTACTTTTACATTACATTTACAATTACGGTAATGGTATAAATGATTGTTTATTCACCTTATTTGTAATTTTGTTACTGCATTAGTATCACGTAAATGGGGGGGGGGGGGGGGATATACCAAGCAGAAATCAGGTGGAGCAGATATTGTTGAATGACAATGAATATCTTTAATTAATAACAAAAATCTTAAAATACTCTGAATTGAAATCAACTGCACTTTCCTCTTAGGTGGCCTAAAGAAATTCTACTCCCATGGTCAGATCATTATGAGTCCGTCTTAATTTAGTAATAAACTTCAATTGAACATGCAGACATGACTGTAAGGGACAGCAGCTGTAAAAGCTGAGTTTGATCCACGCTTACCTCCACCACGCTGCCTCAGCCTCTGCAAATCCCCTCCAATGAGGGGCAAAGCAAACTTAGCATTTTTACGGTAGAGGAAGGTTAGGGATACCTGATCGGCCGGGACTGTGGATGCAGGTCTGGGGGACCATGGCTGTGTGAATGCAGGAGGTAGCCCGGCTGCTGAGGTCCATCACCGACGGCACCGGTGGCGGAGGCGCCTGCTGCTGCAAGGCCGACTGCTGGTGCTGATTCTGCTCATGCTGCGATGGACTGGAGGGGATGCCATTTTCAGAGAGAAACTCCTCAAGGTCCATATATTCCAACTGAAAGCTGTCTCCATCATAAGGAAGTGTCTTGTCCCACAGAGTAGGCCCCAAGAAGGCCGACTGAGGAGCATTCCCATCCTCATCCAACTTCTTTTCCTTCTCCTTCTCTTTTGCAAAACCTGCAAAAGATTAGAGCGCCCTTACAGATATTGCCATTGTCATGCAACATATATTTGCAGGAATGAGTGCTGGGTTCTTTGTATTCATAAAATCTAACCCGTTTCCCACAGCAAATGCAGACCCTGCTCGTTTTTTTCTGCAGTAAAACGGACGTGCCCACTTCGGAAACACAAAGGCACCATATATTACTTCTTATAGTAAAAAAAAATATGCTTAGGTACAACAGTAAGCCCGTGCAGGGATCTCATTTAGCTTCCACTCAAGCACGGGGTGCGAATATGGGAAATCTAGTCCAAATGAAATGACAATAATATTAAGTGTTTCTTTTTGTGACTACTGACACGCTTAACATTTCAGATTTTCAAAGTTACCATAATTAAAGTACATTTCTGCAGACAATTAAGGTACATTTCAGCAGACATAACCATTTCAAACTGTTCTCAGACTTGTGCAAAATCATTTCAGAAGCTTTTGCACTAATCGCTGCAATTGATCAGAGGTCCGCGCACATTTGAAATTGATTAGCACATGTACATATCTTTTGCTTTTATTTCCCAGGGTACGGAAAGAGAATATGGAACTAAATGGTTAAGACCAGACATGGACACCCAGCCTCGCTCGATACCAGTCGCGTAAATATTTTTCTCACACAGTATAATACAGAACTGCCACATCTAAACCAAAATTAAGGTGTCGTATGGACATTTAGAGGGGGAAATTCTACCGCTTTGATTTTGAGTTGAGCTTTGATATCTTGCAGACAGTGAGCAGAGGCGTCCTATATAAGGATCTGCTATACAAACCATAGTTAGCAAGCTAGCCAGATTTGCTGCTCTGCAACTGGTTGATCCAATCGATTGCAATATGGAAAGGGCATTTTCACTATAGCACAGTATACGAAAACTTCCCAGATAAGGTAACCTTCATAGTAGAGCAACTGAAACGGAACTGTCAGGTGCACTCTGGATGAAAGAAAAAGGATTTTTTTTAATCGTTTACGCTAGGACTACAACAGAGCTGCCTGATTTAATCAACACCGTGATTTTCATTAGCAAACAAAACTAAATTCATATATTTTACCTTCTTCGTGGTGAAGAGGCAGTTTCATGGGATTTTCCAGAAGAGATTTCAGCACGCCATGAGTTGGAGGTAGGAAAGTTTGGTTTATTGGGAGAGGTCTAGACATTTTCTCCATTCGTTTCAACAGAAGCACAACCTTGTATTCCGGGGGGAAAAATTAAAAAAAAAATCAACGGGGAGGGGGAAAAATATCGAAGGATGGCAATGAACTTGCTTTGTAACTGGAAGCGATTATCCCCGAGAACGAAAGATGTATAAAAAAGCGGACCGACTGGTTTCAACGCGGAGACGGACGCTATACCTTCGGTCACACCGCGATACTGAGCGCAGATAAGCGGCCAGCGATGCTGAAATGATCCGCAGCTCCATGTGTGGATACTGACAGCTCTGACGTCAAGGGGGCCGGCAAGACGCCGCCTACAGCTCGCTCACAATATTTTGTTTCAAGACGCCGCCTACATGCAAGTTTCCGTGGTCATTGTTCCTGTGCATACAAATATGTATTAGTGTAATACTAATTTCTTTATTAGTATTTTATGACCAAACGAGTGCGCTTAGTATAGGCGCTCTAGAAAGTGTGCAATAGAAGACCTACTTCTCACAGTTTACATCTCTGCTAGATACCCGCTGTCTCGTTTCTACACACCATGGCATTTTAATGATTTGACATTAAACCGAAATCCCACTAATAATAAATCATAAAGCCGCCTTCCAGCTGCTGAAAGCTAAATGGTTCATTAGTAGTGATCAAATACGTGGGGTAAAAAGACGTGCTGGATTCAGACAGCCGTGTATTCAGTTAGAAAACGTGCTCAAGTGCATCCATTAAAATTACTTACACGGCACAACAAAAAGATCATTCTCATGAAACAGCGCTTCTGACTATAACTGGCAAGTAAATATGACACGGAGTTAACATGCAAACGAAGCACGGCGCAGTGTGCGTTTGCCAATTATTGGCATGTCGTTATTCTTTCACTGGGAGTCATATTTTGCGACTTTTTAAAAATGTTGCTTGCTGTTTTCGCCTGCCTATATATCACCTTTGCAAAATATCGGTTCCCAAAGCAAAACATGCGGAATAATTTTCGTAGGCAAATGGTTAGCGTGTCATCACGCGCTCCCCACACAGACACAGAGCGCATAGGCGCTGGGAATGGGGAGGCACGTGAGCGCGAGCTGACCTACTTTCGTCCAATTGCAGAAGGCAAGCGGCCGCCAGCTTCGCCGATCTGCGGCGCCGTCACATTGAACTACATGTGTTCCTGCGCGAAAGAAAAAGCAACCCCACCAAGGCGAAAAGAAAGTGCAGGGAAATAAGATAATTTTCATATTATCTACCCGTATTTTTCAAATTTTGCATTAATTGGGAAATTAGTCTTATTTCAATAGCATAAATACATACAATTTACACCTCTGCCTAAAATTTTAAAACAAGTCTTATATATATATATATATATTTTTATTATTATTTATTTATTTAGCGATCGGTTTGCATGTCGCTCATTCATAAATTTCGGCTTTCTTTCCAGTTTATACACCCATGACAACAATGGTTGCTGAAGCATTGCGGTATTGTGACTGTTTGCCCAGAAAGTAGGACAATCATTCCTACGTTATATCCTGATCTTAAATTATGAGACTGAATTGCAAATGATAATTTTAAATAAGAAGCCACGAGAAATGGGGACATGCATAGGTTAGAGTAGTTCCAATGTGTCTATTTTTTTCATCTTCGCTTAATTCACAAGATAAAATACGACGTAAAGTCAGTTCAGAGTTGACATGGAAAAATGAGCTATATGCTATCATTACAGTTTAACCGGTATAGCGTTATGTGCAAACGATAACGTGGATTTTGTAAGTGTTCTTTAAAAGCGACATTTTTTAGTCAATCATGTTAACGTATTCAAGCAACGCAGTTATTTTCAGGGTCAGTCAATAAATAAAACAAACAAACATTTTCAATAAATTAAGCGTATATACATCCACTACTTGACATATGTATCATTGTGGTTTTATAAACAATGAAATATTACTCCTACAAGATCAAAACAGTAACATAACAGTGCTTTTTGAAATTATTGGAATAAAACTCTTGTGCCGAGTATCCATGCAGAAAATACAACTAGCATGGCCACCAGTAACCTACATTTCCCTAGCTGTTACGTGTTCAGTTTATCCTCCGGTGACCCTACTGTTCACCCCTCCCCCATTTTCCTTACCCTCGCTTGCAAACACGCCTCACACAAAACTCCAGGGAAAACACTAGATTTTTGCTTTGAGATGGCAGCATCACACGTTTCTTGCAAACGCATGTACAGCACTGGGACTGGAAAACTGATATATTTCCACCTGTCTTTAACCTGTTCTAAGACATGCGACTTGTTACTTTGATGTATTCGTATTTGCAGGACTGCCTGAGATAACGAATTGTATCTACTATCACAGAAAACCAACAGACTTTGTACACAGTAAAACGAACCTTCTATTGCCCAGTAATGAGTTGTCAGTTCAGAATATAAACATTATACGCAATATATATATATATATATATATATATACACACACACACACACACACACACGCAGGGTACCAGTGAAACGTTTGGACACACCAAGCCACCTACAAAGGAGAATAATAGTGTTGCTTCACATACATGACCTGATCACCACGTGACCAAAGCGCAGTACGGATGGTTTTGGCCCAAGACAGATGATTTGCCCAGACAGTATATGAGAAGCAACCAATGAGTGGAAACAGTATGCAGTATGCAATATGCAGTATGTGGGACCTCCTTCAGGACAGCTGGAAAGGCATCCCAGGAGGCCACCTCATGAAACTGGCGTAGAGGAGACAGTGGGGTCAGCCAGCGCCTGGAGCAATGTTTTTGGTTAGTGCATAATTCCATGTGTTATTTTATAGTTTTGATGTCTTTATAAATATTCTAAAATGTAAAAATAGTGTCCCAACTTTTCATTGGTACTGTACACCCATACACTCACTTAATTCTTCATCGCAAAGATTCATCAATGTATTTGAAATATTCCTCAGAGACTTTGATCCATGTTGGCATGATAGCATCACGCAGATCCTGCAGTGGTGAAACTCCTGTTCCAGCACATCCCATAACTGCTCTATTGGATTGAGATCTGATGACTGTGAAGGCCTTTTGAGTGCAGTGAACCCCTTGTCATGTTCAAGAAACCAGTCCGAGATGATATGAGCTTTGTGACATGGTGTGTTATCCTGCTGGAAGTGGCTGTGGTCATAAAGGGATGGACATGGTCAGCAATAATGCTCAGGTTGGCTGTGGCATTTAAACAATGCTGAATTGGTACTAAGGGGCCCAAGGTGTACCAAGAATATATCCCCCACATCATTACACCACCACTAGCGTGACTTGTTGATACAAGGATCTATGGATCCATGCTTTCATGTTGTTTACGCCAAATTCTGACCCTACCATACGAATGTCGCAGCAGAAATCGAGACTCCTCTGATAGCAGGCCACATTTTTTCCAGTCTTCCATTGTGTAATTTTGCTGAACCTGTGCCCACTGTAGCCTCAGTTTCCTGTTTGTAGCTGACAGGAGTGGCACCTGGTGTGGTCTTCTGCTGCTGTAGCCCATCTGCTTCAGTGTTCAACATGTTGTGCCTTCAGAGATGCTCTTCTGCATACAGTACCTTGGTTGTAATGAGTGGTTATTTGAGTTACTGTTGGCCTTCTATCAGCGTGAACCACTCTGGCCATTCTTCTCTGCCCTCTGCCAACAACAAGGCATTTTCCCCTGGAGAACTGCTGCTCACTGGGTGTTTTTTCTTTTTCCGCCCATTCTCTGTAAACCCTAGAGATTGTTGTGTATGAAAATCCCAGTAGATCAGCAGTTTCTGAAATACTCATACCTGCCCGTCTGGTACCAACAATAATCTTGTTCTTGTGTTCATGTGCTTCTGTACTACTTCTGATTTTCTGTCTCTGTTCTGAATTATCCTTATTCATTTCTAGTTTGTAATTAAGTCTTATTTCCCCAAAGTTCTTAGTGTTTATTGAATGTTTGACCCTCACCTTTTCTTTTTACTCCTAGTCTTCAGTATTTGGTTAATTGGTAATGGTATACACCTATCTCTTGTTTAAACTTTGTCATCAATGTATATGTGTCTGCCTTTGCCCTTTTATTCTATTGGTCATTGTTTGTGCGTTTGTCTCCCGCCTGCTATGTACAGTAGATGTAGATGTTAGTTCTGTGTCCTATAGTTCCTGCTTGTTGTTGCCTGTGTTTAGTTCCCCCAGCGTCGCCCTGTGTTTAGTTCCCCCAGCGTCGCCCCGGGTTTAGTTCCCCCAGCGTCGCCCCGGGTTTAGTTCCCCCAGCGTCGCCCCGGGTTTAGTTCCCCCAGCGTCGCCCCGGGTTTAGTTCCCTCAGCGTCGCCCCGTGTTTAGTTCCCTCAGCGTCGCCCCGTGTTTAGTTCCCTCAGCGTCGCCCCGTGTTTAGTTCCCCCAGCGTCGCCCCGGGTTTAGTTCCCTCAGCGTCGCCCCGGGTTTAGTTCCCCCAGCGTCGCCCCGGGTTTAGTTCCCCCAGCGTCGCCCCGGGTTTAGTTCCCCCAGCGTCGCCCTGGGTTTAGTTCCCTCAGCGTCGCCCTGTGTTTAGTTCCCTCAGCGTCGCCCCGGGTTTAGTTCCCCCAGCGTCGCCCTGTGTTTAGCTCCCCCAGTGTCACCCTGTGTTTAGTTCCCCCAGCGTCGCCCTGGGTTTAGTTCCCCAAGCGTCGCCCTGTGTTTAGTTCCCCCAGCATCGCCCCGTGTTTAGTTTCCCCAGCGTCGCCCTGTGTTTAGTTCCCTCAGCGTTGCCCTGTGTTTAGTTTAATCTGTGTTAATTCTTGATTTGCCTTACTGACTTACTGTTGGTTGCATTTTCACTGTTCATAATCTTATTCTTGGAGTCTACTAGATTAGATTTACATTCTTCAATGTTTCAAAAACACAATTTTTCCCATACTGTACATCTCTATTCACTTCATGTATAACTCTATGTGAAACGCTCTGTTAAAGCTGTAAGCCCCACCCCCCCATGAGCCCAGTGTGATCTGATTGGTCAGCTTGCCATATTGGTCAGCTTGTCCTACATGCTCTGCCCTTGTCTTGCAGTATGCAGATAGATCCATGCAGGTAGGCAGCCAATAAGGATTGTGTTTTGACGTGACCTCACCATGTCGTGGAAGTAAAGGTTGGAATTTCAGCGAAACATTTCAGGCAGATTAGAGAAGAGCGGTTTCTGTAGTGAGAGTTACTCTCTTTGGCTTGCACTTTGGGCCTTGAGACTTTGCAGACCATTTACATGCCCATAAAGTTATATAACACACTAAAGAAAAGGGGAAACCTGGAAAAACACAATAGGGCTCCTTTTGACATCACTGGAAATTTAGAGTATCTAAAGCAACCAGGACAGCATGTTATTATGGGTAGTCAAATGAATCCAGACTAAACTCACAGTCAGAACGCACAGGCATGTATTCACTTCCTAAGAAAAACACATCTCTACCTCTATTTCAAACTGAATAAAAGTGGCTTCGATTGAAATTTTGGGTAACACTTTCCTTGAAGGGGCACAAATAATATAATATTATGCTCTTATGTATTAACCAAAAAACTAAATCTG